GCGACCCCGCAGCGGAGGGCACAGGAGGGTGAGCGCCGGTCCCCGTTGTGTCCCACTCCTGCCTGAGAGAGCTCAGGGAGCGGCCGGGTCCAGACTATCGACGTGAGCTAATCTAGGCTTAAGGCTGCTCCGAGAGGGAGCGACAGGATCCACTGGTTCTGGCGGCGGGTCTCACATCGGGTCAGCTGCGCATAGGGACCCCTCTTACCACACGTCAGAACGCGGTTCTGTCGGGTGACTGGGTCAGAAAAGGAAAGGATAGAGTGTTTCCTCCAAACACACAGACGTGTCCCCTCCTGCTCCATGCAGGGCCGAAGTCCCCACCTCCGTAGCCAGCCTGGACCCCAGCCCTGCGCGGTGCCTCTTGGCGTCCCAGATCGGTAACAAGGCTAGAGGAGGAAAGCCGAGGTCTAGATAGCTGGGCCCCGAACTCTCTGCTTTCTCAGCGCCTCCCACCAAGCCAGAGCCAGCCACAGGTTTAGGAGGGGAGGCCCCAAGCAGCCTTTGAGCCCGGTGTCCAAGGCCTCTTCTCTACAAGGGCCTGCCAACCCTTTGAGCTTCAAGCCACGCCCCCGCTGTGTCCTGCTGGGGAGTGGGCTCTACTAATGTTCGCTCATGTAGACGGGAGTTGTAGAAGCCCAGAGGGCTTATTTCATTTACTTAAACGTTCATTCATTCAAGAAATGACTACCTGTACAGCATTTTGCTCTCCAGGTTCCGCAGGAAAGAAGCTCTTCTTTGTCTGCACATCCCCTGCTTATTCATCAACCCTCATTTGGGAGTCACCTCTAGGTAGCCTTCCCTGTCGTTCAGGATAGAAGTGGTTGGTTATACTTGGGACTCGAGGCTTCCCAGCACACTGAGGAAATTGGTGGGAGACTCCTAAGACAGTGACACTCACTAATTCTTTTTTTTTTTTTTTTTTTTGCATAACCACTCCCAAGGTCTGGGCACATGTTGTGTGTGACTTTAGTTCCACAGGCTCCTAGGCTCATAAGCTTGCCATGTTCCACAAGAAAGAAGCATTTCTTTGCCTGCACATCTCCTGCTTATCCTTCATCCCTTTGTTGAGAGACAACCCTGGTGCTCCATCTCCTCTCCATTAGATGTTCCTACCGGTTTTCTGTCTCTGAGTGGCACTAATCACTCTGGGTTTCTGCCCACCAAATCTGTTAAAAGTTTTAAACTATCTTAGTCACCCTTGTATCTCCAACGTATAATAAAGTACCTGGCCCAAAGAAGATATGGATAAACATAAATCTCCCAACTACCCAGTTAATGCTCTGTTTTATTTAACATTGGATCTCATACTTGCAAAGTTACATATTTCCTATCAGTAACAATGTCCAAAAATCCACCTCTCTCTCCCCGTTTCTCCTGTTTCTCTGCCCATTTCTCTTCTCTCACTCCCCAACCCTGGTGCTCTGAAAGATGAACAAAGAATGTGTCATTTACTCATCAGAGGACAGATACATCTTCAGGTTCCCATGGCCAAGTAATTCATCTGTGGGTGAAGAGTGTTGAACAAGCCCACCCAGACTCCTGCAGAGGGTCTGTGTAGACTCCAGGAACAGGGCAATTATCAGGATGGAAAGGGGCTGGCACTGGGGACTCAACTTGCAGCTCAGGAGACTGACAGAGACTAAATCTGGAAGCACAAAGTCTCTTCACTCCAACCCAGCTTCTTCTGGTTCTGCCTCAGCCAGCAAGGCCAGTTTAGCATTGGCCTTGACTGTTGTGACCTCTGGGCAGATGAGAGGAGGGATAGGGAAGAAATTGTCAATTGTGACATCCAGGGTTCCAAGCTCTCTTAGGGAGCTCTGATCTTGAGTATTAGGACTAATCTCTCCTTGGCTGCCACAGTGTGGGTCACCAACCTGAAACAGTCCATTTTCAGGAGCCAACTGGTCAAACCATGTTCAGACTAGTGCTGGGTTGAGGGTGAGGGTGAAATTAGGAGACAGGAGAATAAAGCTTGAAGGTTGGGAGGAAGGTGGGCGATGGTCCAGGGATGCATCTCAGAAGGGCAGGAGTGGTGGGCATGTCAGCCAGGTGATCATCTTAGGGGATAATCTGAATTAATCCTTATAATCCCTGGATGCAGAACTCAGCCTCCCTCCTAATCCCATCCCAGGAGATCATCCTCTCTGAGGACTGATGTAGTCATTTATCTCCTTTACCCTTATTTCTAAATGCTTAGATCCTTTCATTAAAAAGAAAAAAATAAATATTTGAAACATGCAGGAACGCACAGAGAATAAGATAGCAATTAACCATGTACACAGACTGAAACACATTTATTTCAGAGGAGCCCCCTATTTATGATTTTATAGTTTTACTTGAGATGTGTATATCTTCAAACAATCTAAACTTTTGATTTGTGTTTTTGAAATCTATCTGAATGGTATTACATTGTACACTTTCTTCTGCAGATACATTTCTCAATTATTTACATTTACCCATGTTGTTTCACATAGCTCTAGTTCATGAATACTATTTTATTGCTGAATAGACCACAATTTATTTATCATTCTTTTGCTAATTGAATTTAGTTATTTCCAGTTGTCCATATTAAAAACAATGCTGCAATGGACAGTTCTGTGCATGCCTTCTTGTGTGAGTATTTCCCCAGGGCAAATACATAGGAGTAGAATTTCTGGGTCACAGTGTAGGGGCATCTTAAATTTCACTAGTTGTTGCCAAATTGTTCTATAAAATAGCAATTTAAACATTAAAGAAGCAATTTAAACACCAGTATCAGTGGCTATATTTATTTTACTTATTTATCTCCTGGCCCCTGCTGATTTAGAAATTACACATTCTATTTCTGTTTTTTTTTTTTTTTACTGATTACCTCTTTTTATATTTTCTAATGATTCTTACTGAAGTCTACAGTGAGTCACTGTCTTCATACTTTTCCTGAATAATAGAAGGAACTTAGGACATGTAAACTCTGATCTTCTTTTCCCATAATTCCTCATATTTCAATCTGTTGTTTTCGTTTTACCTAATTTCTATGCCCACTAAGTCTCACCACCACCTCAATGCTTGTATAGATTTACTAACATATTTATAAAGTCTTCTGTTCATTTCTTCTTACATTCCATTCTCATTCTCATTTCTACCCTCCATTTCTTCTTGCATTTCACTTTTTCTTTGTAATTTCAGTTCCCTTCTTATGAAGTATATTCAGTTGTGACATTTCAGGGAAACTCTTTGAGTCGTAAGCATTCTCAGTCTTTGTCTTAAAATGTCATTATTTCACACACTTCATATGGAAATTTAGTGCCCATAGAATTCAGAATGACAGTTTCTCTTGAGCTTTTGAAGATATTTTTCCTATAATTTTTTTGCTACTAATAAGTAACAGTGATATTTTTTCCATTTATCTCTAATCTTTTGTTGCTAATAAGAAGTCAGCTGCTAATATGATGTTATTTTTGTAGACAAACAGGCATTTTTTTCCTTTCTTATTGCTTTTAAGATTTTTCATTGTCTGTCTAGTATTCTACAGATTTACCACTGTGTGTTTGAGTCAGGACTCTTCAACCTGAGAACCTATGTTTTTCATTCCATTATGAAAAATTCTCAACATTATTTATTGGAATATTAGTATTCTACAGATTTACCACTGTGTGTTTGAGTCAAGACTCTTCAACCTGAGAACCTATGTTTTTCATTCCATTATGAAAAATTCTCAACATTATTTATTGGAATATTAAAATTTCCCCCTTCTCTCAGTCTCTCATAGGAACTCTGATTATATATGTATATTAATGTGTCTCATACTTTCCCTGTGTTTTTAACTTATTCCTTCATATTTTCTCTCATTACTTTTCTACTTTTTTGATATTTTTAAATGAGTGCATCAGTTCTGGCTTTCAATTCACTAATTCTGTCTTTAACTGAGTCTAATCTACTACTTAATACATCACAGAGTCTTTAATTTTAATGGTTATATCTTTCACTCCTTAATGTTTTATT